AAGTTTTCATTTTCCTCAATTGTTTACTCTCTTTCACCAACTACAATTTATAGCTGCCACAGATAGACCCTCGGTCTAAAAAGATCACTTTTGCTTGACAACCAGCCTGCTATTATAACAATTAGTAAGTTTGACTCAATTCTAGTTAAGTGATATACAATTGTGATATATTTCTGTATTGTGAGGAACAAAACTTAGTGTTTATGACTAAGCTAGCTAGAAATAGTCTTCAAGCAATACAGATGTATTAGCTGAGATGTATTAATTTGGAAAGTTGCACTCTCTCTACTTCTATTACCCTTGCAATAGAAAGCAAGGGCGAAATAATTTCTCCAAGTTAAGAATTTACATAGATGCTGCAGGTGGAGAGTGCACAACAGTGGCTACATTCTAATGGTGGTATAAGACAGAGTAATATAATGTACATTAATCAATACATTATAAAAAACTTAGCCAGTGTCATTCTAAACAAAAGGATTGTAATGATACTGGAATATTTGTAGAAGACAAGTTTAATGTGCCTTCTTATAAGCTTCTCAGCACTACATTAAAAAAAAAATGTAGAGTAGACTGGTAGCTGAGGATTTTGCTATTTATGGACAAAGTAAGGACTTCCACAGGAAAGAATTCACACAGCTTTTGATTGATCTGCATTTACTACCAGAAAGAGAAACTATGAACAAGCAGTTCAGGATTTGCTTTGATATTATCAGTTCTCACTGGCAGCAGAAAATATCCCCAACCTGCATTTGCCATTCTGGTTTTATACAAATCAAAATATTATTCCTTATATTGGTATTCTTCCCTTCCCACGAAGAGCTCTGCTCTGGACCTAATTTCTAACTTGTCATTCTCTGTCATATTGGTGTGTACTAACCAGAGGATGTTGTCCTTGAAAAGACAAAAGAGGCCTCGCAGATGAACCAGGGCAGCGAAGGCAGAATAGAGGCTGAAGCCCACCATTAATCCACATGAATGACAGTACAATGCATAGTAAGCACTGAAAAGAGAGAGAAAAGATTTCAGTAGAGCAGAGGTTTCCAAACTGTAGTCCAAACACTGCTTACTGGTGCCATCAGGACATAACAATAAATGTAGTATTACTTCTCCATATAAGCAAGCACTATAATAGGAGTCCCATAACCTCTGTGACAAAGTAGTGAGGTAGGTTGTCCACAAGATAGTCTTTGTATTAAAGGCAGTTACCCACTCAAAAGTTTGGAAAACCCCAGAAGCTGAGGTTAAAATCTGAAAACTGAAATCTAACTTAAAAGGTCAGTTCAGGATACCCCGCTGCTACTGAAACACATCTATGAATTTTAAAGAGAAAATAATTTCAGACAGACTTAAAAATTAAAACAAAAAAATATAGAGAGATGCACAGAGGAAACTGAGGTATGTGAACCCATAACATCATCAACTCATTAGCTATACAACCATTAAGTTTTCCTTTTTGTCCTGTCCCTCCTACCCCACTACAGTAGAAAAGCGAAAAATGGCCACAAGAGTGGTTTGGGATACACAAATACACTACGTAACTTAACAGGTAAGAATTACAAGCTGTGCAAGATGCCTATGAAAAATTCACTTCCCCATGGGGAGCAGAAAGTAAGTGCCATCACCTTCCGCAGAATACAAACGTGCCTTTAAAAAAAGTTTCTAACCCTTATAATTGTGACAAACCTTCCAAATATGAATCAAGCACAATACAGATACAGGGCTGCCTCCTCAAATTTGCAGACAGCTCAAGCAGCTGCAGCTACTCAACTTTGAAAGTAGCAACCCCTGATTCAAACTCAGTTTCTTATTTTCTTCTGTGAAGTCTAATAAAAACACTGTAAACCATGCTTGACAAAGATACTCTCCTCTAGCCACTTCCCTTTCTGCAGAGTTTTGATTAACTCAAATTATTTCCCTCCCATTAGATTCATAATAGGTAAAGAAAAAGCATTATCTATCTAGGTGAATCAGCTTCTACTGATTGTTTAATTCATTACCAACAAAACTTGTTCACGTTCACTATTAAAGAATATAAAAAGACTTTCCATCTTAACAGGTATATAAACTGTTATTTTTGGATAGAGGTTGCTTCCTTTTTTGATTTACTCAAATGTCTCTTCCCCCCCCCCCCATCTCAAGGGTAAATAGGGCAAAAACTTAGCCTATATTCACACCCCCAAATAAAACTATCCATTTACAAAGGCTTTCTCAGTTGAAAAAGCAGTGGACAGGTCCAAAACCAAACTAGATTATTTGTCAATTCTATGAGACACCTCTAAGAGGGAGCTGGAGGGATTTTAGAAACTTATTTTCTTCTGGCACAGACACATTTCTAAAATTCAGAAGCAACACATTAATGCCTTTCTGCTCTGCTTCATGACCATCTCAAATTGAGAACTAATACCAAAAGCAAAAAGCAACATCTGAGGTACCTACCATCCTAGAAGGGGTCCTTCAATACCGACCATTAAAGAATCGTCCAAAACAACATCATTTGTGACTTCTGAGAAGATAAACCCATAGATGGTGAATGATCAGTGGCGTATGACTAATATTTTTATTTGTCCCCAACACTAAGGTTCTGAACTTTCTATCTTTAGGCTTAGAAGGATTCATTTGTTCTATATTTATTTTAATGGAAAAACACATTTCAATCCTAGTAGCTTTTTTTAACGTTTGTGTTGACTTAATTGTTTGCATTCATAGAAAATTAAAATCCTCCAATGCTGTTATTCACACTATGCGACTGAATCCCAGATTCAAATATATTTTGTAATATTTAATGTGTGTAAGCATAATAGAATACTGACTTTTTGCTGGAGCCAGCCACTAGCACAAAAACGGGTCTATTTAAAGACTCATGCAATTCCACTTTACTCTAGTGCAGTGGTTCCCAAACTTTAACAATCTGTGAACCCCTTTCACTAAAATGTTGTGTCTCGCGAACCCCCTCTTAAAAATGAATATTTCCAGGAATTTTCTCCGTTACCTGAGTTTAAATTATAAAAGCAGTGATCTTGGAAATATAATTTGTTTTTATGACATGCTTATTACACACTATTTATTATTAATTATTATTTATCATTACAGCATTTTTACTACATTATGAAAACGGCAACACTCTTCTAAGATCTCACTTTCGTAGCTTGTATCACTTTGAATAAGCCTGTTATAAGACAAGGCTCCTATGTTTCATCAAGGAGTATCAGATGTGAAACAGCATGAAGGTATTTAAGAAGCCAACTCAGAGTTCCTCCTACACAAGCATTCAGGTCTTGAGCAGTCCAGGCAAACAACGCACGTTACAACAAAGCTTAAACTTGTTCTTCATAATAATTTTAAAAACAATACTAGCTGCCTATTTAATTTTAAAAACAGCAAAAAATATCCACCTCCCTTTCCATTTCTTATAAGGAGTCTTGAAGTTTAAATCTCCTCAGTGTGATAGATATGCTTGCTTTGATCTGCTTAGCTCTTGGAAGTCCAGGGGCTCCAGGCTGCTGGCCCCATGCTGCCCCGGGTTTCTAGGGACAGCTCTGTCCACCATTAGGGAATTTTTTCCCGAGAACCCCCTGTAACATTTCGCAAACCCCCAGGGGTTCATGAACCCCAGTTTGGGAACCACTGCTCTAGTGGGACTATCCTGTAATGGAGCACTAGGAAAAGGGAAAGGACAGCTCGCAGCTGGCAGACAGTGGGGCAGATCTCAGTGGGAATGAAAGTAACAGTCGCTGGGCAGTGGCAATGTGCGGGGAAGGAAGCAGCTTTACAGCCACATGTCCCGACTGAGTTTACAGGACTGTTGTTTCACTTGCAAACTGAGTAGAGCTGAGAGTTACTGTTTTAATGTCACTTCAGAGCAGAACCGAAACTGAAGACACGTTTTATGAAGTCTCCCAACATTTCGTGCTTTCCGAGCACGCATTAGGGCCATTTGGTGGCCCACAGAAAACAAGGCGCTGCAAGACCCGCTCACTCGGGCAGGGATAACCCACTGGTTACGCTGCTCTCCACGGAGGGGATGCTAGGCCCGCAGTTAGGTCACTGAGGACCACAACCGCAGCAGCCGCATCCTTCTCCGCAGACTCACGTCAGCGCCCGTGCCAGGTAGCGCTGCCCTGCCCAGCCCACGGGGCTGACCAGGGGCTCCCACAGGCAACCAGGCCAAGGGAGCGCTCGTGAATCCAGGCCCAGGCTCCGTCCAGTCGCAGCCCCGCTGCCCAGGCACAGAGTCTGGCGCTCCGGGGACTCACTGAAGCAGACGAGGACCTGCAGGCAACGGTCCTCCTGGGCGCAGAGATGCAGCGAGTCGCCCAGCACCACACGGCAGCCCCTGCAGTGGAAGAGGGCGCACTCCTCCAGCCGGAGCCCTCGGCGCAGCAGCGTGCCGCCACCCGGGCTGCTCGGCTCCCGCTGGGGCTCCGCGCCACGCGGCATGCCCGCGTCCTCCTGCGGTGGGCGGCCCCAGCTCCGCAGAACAGGGCCCGGCCGCTCGAAGGTGATGACGCCGTCAACCTGAGGCTCCTGGAACAACTGCTGGATACATCTCCGCACGGCCATCTTCTTCTCTCGCAGTGCCTGACCTCCCGCTCCCGCCCGGATTCGAATCCAACGCCCGCCCCCTTGCTATTCCAATTGGAGTACTGTCTATAAGTCTGCGCTCCGATTGGACGGAATACAAGCAATCACTTCACCGGGTGCTCGCAATTGGGAAATAATTTCCTCCGGCCATTGGATGATGGAGGATACCAATCATTCTCCTTCCCAATCAGATAGCGATAATTTGGGCTAGGGCGGGGCTTTAATTGGATAGACTGTTTACATGTGCCTATCGTGTTTAAACAAAACAAATCCCATTCCCCAGGATGCCATTGGCTGTCGGTGTGTCTCACGGCCCATCTGCTGGTAGGTTGTTCAGCCAATGACAGGGCGCGAAGGGTGAATTCGAACGGTGGGGGGTGGGACGAAGTAGTTAGGCGTCAGTTGAGCGCGAGATTCGAAGCACGGGCACGGCGGTTACCGCGGGCCGCGCTCACAGACCGGTCGCTGCCATAGTCCTGCTGCCATGGAGCCGCCCTCGCTGCCGCAGCTGGAGTCGCTCAAATACAGCGAGCTACAGCAGGTGGCCAAGGCCGCCGGCCTCCGGGCCAACCTGAAGGTGAGGAGGTGGCGTCCCGGCCGGGGAGAGTCCCTCAGCCGCTGGGAAGGGAGATGGGGGAGAATGGCACAGGGGATCCGGGCAGCCGGCTTCGGGACCGGGCCAGGGTCTGCTCCCTGAGCGGGGGCTGATACTGCTGAGCAAAGGTGTGAGCGGACCTGGGTTAAGGGTAGCGGAGCGGGCGCGGCTGACGCCTGGGGCCCTGTCCTGGCAGCGCTCCAGTTCTCTGTGCGGCAGCAGCGAGCGCGGTGGAGAGCCGTGGGGACGCAGGGTGCACGGGTCACCGCTATGTGTGGAGGCGACCAACTTACAGTCTGATCCCTATCAAACGTGGGTTTTCAGGGCGCAGAGGTGGGACCACAGCCCCTAAGCTTCCATGTGAACTTCTAGGACATGCGAATGGCCATGCTGGGTTAGACCAACAGACCACCTAGCCGAATAGCCTGTCTTCTGACCGTGGCTAATGCCAGGTGCTTCAGAGGGAATGAGCCGAACAGGCAATTCTCAAGTGATCTTCCCCTGGCTGGGCCAACTAGGCAGAGGCTAAGGACAACCAGTGCATGGGGTTGTCTCCCTGCCCATCTTGGCTAATAACCATTGATGGACCTATCCTCCATGAATTTATCTAATTTTTTAACCCAGTTATACTTTTGGCCTTCACAACATCCCCTGCTGCAAGTTCCACAGGTTGACTGCTTTGTGTGAAGTAGTACTTCCTTATATTACTGTTAAATGTGGTGCCTGTAAAAGTGGTGCCTGTTAATTTAATCGGCAGACCACTGGTTCTTACGTTATGTGAATGGATAAATAACACTTTGTCGAAGGAAAACGCAGTCCTCACTCTTAGGTTGTTTGTAACATGTCAGAGACAGTTTATTCTCAAGCAATTGCAAGGGGGAGAGTGCGCATGGACAGGGATTCCCCCTTCCTAGGCAGGTCTCCGCCAGATAAACAATTAGGGCAAGCATTTATACCTTTTGTTACATACAATAACGATCCACAACCGCGTCTGGTTTATACATATTCCTTCCTGATATCTTACTTTTATCTACTAGTTCTTGCTATAGTCTGCGTTCCAGTCTTATCTAACACAAGGTCAAAACAGCATCTCTTACAGTTTTTCCCACTCGCTCAGGCCCTACCTTGAAGTCTTGTGTTATTAGAGTTAGAGTTAGCCTGACTCTTGCTCTATTCTGATTTGAAAACTCAGATGTCTACATCCAAATTCCCTTTATCCACTTCCACAATTTCCTTATTTGATTTCTCCATCCCATTCATAAACCTCTATCATAGCCTTCCTTAGTCATCTCTTTTCCAAGCTGAAAAGTCTTTTAAATCTCCCCTCATATGGAAGGCGTTCCACATCCTTAATCATTTTTGTTGTCCTTTTCTGTACCTTTTCCATTTCTAATATGTGGTGTTTTGTTTTTTTTTTTTTTTTGAGATGGGACAACCAGAACTGCCCACAGTATTCAAGGTATGGGCATACCATGGATTTATACAGTGGCATGATATTTACTTATTGCCTATCCATTTCCTAATGGTTCCTAACATTCTGTTAGTTTTTTTGACTGCTGCTGCACATTGATTAGATGGTTTTCAGGGAACTATCCACAATAACTCCAAGAGCTCTTTCTTGAGCGGTAACAGTTAATTTAAATTTGTTAGTCTCTAAGGTGCCACAAGTACTCCTGTTCTTTTTGCGGATACAGACTAACACGGCTGCTACTCTGAAACCAGTTAATTTAGACCCCATCATTTTGTATATTTAGTTGGGATTATATTTTCCAATATGAATTGCTTTGCAATTATCAACATTGAATTTCATATGACGTTTTGTTGCCCAGTCACCCAGTTTTATTAGAGCCCTTTGTAACTCTTCGCCATCTGCTTTGGACTAAGCTCCCTTGAGTAATTTTTTATCATCTGCAAACTTTGCCACCTCCCTATTTACCCCTTTTTCCAGATCATTCATGAATATGTTGAACAGCACTGGTCCCAGTACAGATCCTTGGGAGACACCACTATTTACTTCTCTCCATTCAGAAAACTGACCATTTATTCCTCTCTTTTTTTCCTGTCTTTTAACCAGTCACTGATCCATGAGAGGAGTGTCCATCTTATTCCCTGATTGCTTAGTTTGCTTAAGAGCCTTTGGTGTGGGACCTTGTCAAAGGCTTTCTAAAAGGCCAAGTACACTATATCCATTGGATTCTCTTTGTCCGCATGTTTGTTGACTCCCCTCAAAGAATTCTGTGCTCTGCTATTTCTGATTCCTCCCACCCCCTACATGTCAGTAACTTGCAACACAAGGCCAGATGCTTTCTGGCTATAAAGAAGGTGCTGTCAAAGGCACAAAGGGATAGCTCAGTGGTTTGAGCATTGGCCTGCTAAACCCAGGATTATGAGTTCAATCCTTGAGGGGGCCATTTGGGGATTTAGTTGGGGATTGGTCCTGCTTTGAGCAGGGGGTTGGACTAGATGACCTCGGTCCCTGATATCCTATGATGAATCTGGAGGGAAGCGTTTCTTCTCACCTGTCTGCTGTCATGTGATAGATAACATCAGGCACATGCAGGGTGTGTTGGTTTTTTGCCTTTGATAGTGACCCGTGGTGGTGGTAAGCTTATCCAGAAAGCACACATTGTCATCACTAGCTGACTTCCATGGAAAACATCACTGGAGGAACTACCGTGCACAGAACTTGGCAGCTATCGGGGGGCAGCTCAAAACTGTAGACTAGGGGAAGCATCAGTGTACCTAGGGCTTAGAGACACAAGGAGAGGGGATGTGGACCATCATGGTTACAGGGCTAGCTGCATCTCTGTCCCCTTTTTTGGCCTCTCTGAGTGCATTGTCTTAGCTTAGATATCAGGTCTTTACGTATCCAATTTCACAATTCTTCTACTTTTAAGAGGGACCTAGGCTATGATACCCCACATATCCACCATGTATTATCCTGCTGGTTCAATTGAATTCAGACATCTGCTGCCTTCCTTTCAGGAGTCTGTGATCAGTGGCATATAGTGACCTAAACACCCTTCTTAAAGCAAAAGTAGTATTTACTACTAGGAACAAAGCATTAGAGGAAAAGAGGATTCTGAAACAGTTTACACGCATATCTATCTTACCTAGAGTCCAGTCCAGTCACTGCCCCTGTCTTGTGGTCCGGATCCTCTATCACCTCATCCTCAGAGCTGTGACCACATGGTCCCTCTGCCCAGTTCCTGAAACCCTGAAATCCCCCATAGCTTAAACAAAGCCTCTCCCAGAACTCCACCCAAAAGAGTGAGCTTTCTAGTTTTCTTCTTCAAGGGGCCACATTGTAAGTGGAGAATATAGCACAGAGATGCTTTGCACAGAATTATACCACATTATTGCTTGTTACCTAAGCACATGAGGAATGCACAGAACTATACACAAGCAAACTCTACATGCATTTCACTGCCTCCATTTCCTTACTACTCCAGGGTATTCTGAGGGCTGGGGTCAGAGGCCATTGGGCCCATCTGGAGTCTTTCTTTCTGCTCCAGTGCATAGCTTGATATACATTGACACAGGAGCTCTCTATGATAGAACAATTGTAAAGCTACCAGGAGTCTTAACGGAGTTAAAAACACCTGAGGATTCAGCAGTTGGGTCCCTTCGCAGCAACCTGGTGAGTCGCCAGCAGGGAGAGCCCAATCAGATCTGTGACAATAACCCATCCCCAAAGTTAAATATAATATACATCAGTTCTTAAATTGTAATCCATGGAGGCTGCGTTGTTCTCATGATGCTGACTTGCCTTGTTTTCATTTATTAAATTGCATTAAAAGAAATAAAATTAATACTTTCCTAATATTACTTTCCTATGCAGTAAGTGCTGTAGGTGCCTCACGGATATTACAGTGACTGCACATGAGAGAGGAAATGATCCATGAGACCATTTCTGTATCAAAATGTGTATTTGTACAGTAATCACACTTGAGAATCCTTGCAGTATTTCATTTTGCAACTATTATTTTAGACAAAAAAAAAAGTGGGAGAAGGTATTGAGGAAGGGAATACTTGGTAAGAATGCCACTCAGGAAGACACTGGAGTAAACTGCCTTTTGTGACCAAAAAGAGGCCAGAAGCTTGCTTCAGTTTTTCATGGCAACAAACCAAGCAAGTTTCACTCTTGACTATTTATTTACATTAAATTGTTGTATCAGGCTTGTACATAAAATTGTCCTGTTCTAAAATCACTGAATTATTGCTGTTTTGTGGTGGTTTGAGAGAGCATGTCTGTACAAGATTTTAAACAACAGGTACTTTAATTTCCTGTTCCCAGAAACTTAGTGTTTAGCCAGTTCTTGTTTTTATCTCTGGGCTGAGCACATCTTCAAGCTAACTTCTTTGCAGTATTATCTGATGCAAACTTAAAAAAAGTTGCCTTATCTGTAAGGTTTAACACAATGGAAAAACCACAGCATTTTTGCCTGTCAAGATAGGGCCTAAGATTACCAAGTGGGTTGTGTGGAAGAAGTGTAAGTGTTTAAAATGTAACTGGCAGTGCATTTCAACAGCCTTAATTTTATCAATTTTTTACATTCTGAGAAACTTGCCCTGACTTCTGGCACCTTTGCTAGAATGAATGGCTTCACAACTACTTTAAACATGGTGTTGGACTGAAAATAGTCACTCCTTTCAAAAATCCCTCAAAAACTTTTCCAAAGCTTTCCCTTTACTTTGGAATCTCCTAAAAACTTCAAACTCAGTTTAATATCTTGGAAAACTTCTATCAATCACTTGATTGTCTCATTATACAACCAATAAGGAATAGAGAATAAGCTGTTCCTATAATGTGTTTGGAACTAATGTTGTTTTTTAAAATGCTAAACCAGCTGTGTATTTAGAGCAAAAAAGAAGTCATGCCAAATCAAAGTTGAATTTGACCCTTTCATCTCCAACTGGGATGAGCACTCTTGACTTTGGAAAAAAAAAATTGGTATATGTATAAAATCTGCAAGGGCTTTTAAAAGGCTATAGGATATACTATGCATGGCTATTGTTTTCAAGTTGCTTATAGTTTTCTTTGAGCCATAATGTCTTCAAATTTGTGTTGGGCTGAGACTTCACCTGCCAAGTTGCCTAAAATAAAATTAAATAATTTGGGTTAGGGTTAATTAAACTAATTTTCAGAGGTTATAACAAATGAAATAAAATTATTATGGAAGTACTAATGTTCTCATTTACAGTACTGCAAAAGTGGTACATTGCCATGTTTTTCAGATTTAGAACTATATAAATCAATGGTTAATCCTTAACATTCATTCAATAAGAACTTTTACATAAGGGAGGAGATAAACTTTGGTATTATGCTGATTTTTCCTATTTAGGTCATTGGAAAATTGCCATTAAGCAGCTTAAAAATTCCATTATGCAATTTTTTTGTATTGAGTGTTTTCCCTATTGGCATTATTTACTTAGGAAAGTATGATCTGCATGTGAGCATGGCTCAAAGTAAGTGATGCTGTTGCAGAAATTAGATACAAGTTTTAATTGGATTGTGTTTAACTAGATGAGTCAAAATACCTTGTCCTAAAACTACTGGCTTCTCTGGAAAACGGATGGATTGTAAGATCTCTGGTCAGGAAAATCTACATCTCCGCTCCAATGAAGCAAGTGAGCTATTCAGCAAAGTACTTAAGCACATCTTAAGTCCCATTGATTTTAATGAGACTCAAGTACCTTCTTAAAATTAGGCTATGTCTACATTACACGCCACTGGCAACAGCATGTAGTGTACATGTAGCTACATGCTACAGTGCAAAGCCGTCTGCGTCCTCATTGCAGTGCATAGCTACATGTGCCAGTGAAATGCCCTGGCAGAGGGGAGACAGCAAGAAAAAGCTTCAGCAACTCCTTGCCACTAGAACCTTTCAATGCAGTAAGGAAAAGTTCTGGCAGGGGGAAGGAAGCAGGAAAAGACTGTCTTTCCCTGCTGCCTCCCTCCTGCCAGAGCCTTTTATAGTTTCCATAGTGTTTTCCTGTGGCAAGGAAGAGCTGTAACAGTGGGGAGCTGGCAGAGGTTTCCCCACCGCACCCCTGCTGTGGGACTCTTTTCCGGCAGAGGGAAAAGGCTCCAGCAGCAGGACACTACACTGATAAAAACAGCAGTGTAGATGGGGAGGCACAGCTTGGGCCAGCAGAGAGTGTGTAGGGCTAGTACTGCAGACAGACCCACCTCCCCCCAGACATTTCTTTTACTTTACTTGCCTAAGCCATGCCTCACCAGCTACACTGCTTATTTATACTTGTGCTGGGGGGCTGGGCAGGTAGGTACTCTACATGTTGCCAAAAGACATACCCTTAAACATGTGTTTTGCTGAATAGAAATGGACTTATGCAGATGCTTAAGTGCTTTGCTGAACTGGTTGGTATACAGGGTTGGCTTATGCAACATTTTGTGTAATGGACTAGTGTCTTCTTTGGGTCACATTGTATACTCTTGACTCCTCTGCAGGCAGACAAATTGCTGAAAGCTCTGAAGCAGCACTTTCATGAGCCAAAACAAGAAAATGGAAGTAAGGTAAGAATAGATGTCTGCTGACTTCTTATAATCTTATGAAAGACAATATGCAGAACCATTCTTTCTAAGAAAGTTGCTCCTGTTTTGATAATTGCAGTGCATTTCATTTAATGAAAAGTGCTTCTCACGTAGTGCACATGGTAATATAAATTGAAATTTTTACTTAAAATCAGTGCCTCATGCTTAATGTGTTCACCTACTGCTGGAAATTGACATTTTTGGTATTTAGTTTAGAAATGGTTCCATATATGACTAGGCCAGTGTCCATCCTAGTAATGGAATTGACAAAACAATTTGGAGTTAAAACTTAACTTGTGCTCCAGTACCTACACAGACTTATCTTTAGTGTGAACTAAAATGTGGTCAAATGGAAACTGATATGCTAATGTTCAAATTTGCTCTGATCCGTTCAGCTCCAGACATTAGCAATGGGAAATGTACAAAATTCTCCATTGTGTCCTTTGAGAGAAGATCATCTTCAGGAGCTGAACCAAGCCTAATGACAACCTAGATCTCAATATTTTAAATACTAGCTGTGAAGGTTTGAACCCACCACCAGGGAACATCTGTGCTGCTTCTGCAAATAATGCTTTCCCAGGATAGCCTACAAACAGGGAATGCCATGCCAGATCAGTAGTCCATCAAATCTGCTATCCTCTCTGATAGTGCTCAATACTTGATGCTTCAGAGGAAGGTATAAGAAACCCGATAAAGACAATTATTATATGGAATAAACCAGCTTGTATGGGAAGCCTTTTGCTAAACCTAGGCAGTTGGGGTGGGAGGGAGTGTCCCTTCCTTTTTTTGTTTGTTTATCCTATCTACCTTTTATATTCTCTAACTGGAGGTTCTCACCTCTATGAATGTCTAATCCTAGTTTGTCTAGCCATTTTGTGCCTACTGCACTTACAAGTTACTCCTCAGTATGCTATAACCAAAGGACATCCCAGAGAAAAAGTTTTTTTTTTTTTTTTTTTTTTATTTTATTGTTACGCTGTATGTATTTAAAAAAAAAACACAACAAAAACAACCTTCCTCTTTTATTTAAATGTGTTGCCTTTCAGTTTCATTGAATGTCCCCTTGTTTTTATGTTATGAAACAAGATAATTCAGAAGCTTTTTTTCTCTGTCATTATATATTGCATATACTTTTATTGTGGCCCTTTTTGTGAACCCATTAAGAACTGATATGATCCTTGCCAGATTCACTCTTCTTCTGCTGACTGTGATGTATGCAGTAGCTAGGGATCAGAGTAGCCCTGTAGGAGGAGCACAGATGACATGATCTTTTGCAGGATTTTAAAAAGATCTATGAGATCTTAAAAACTTGGAGAGCCCCAGGATTCTCCCAGTCAGGTGTCAAATGCGAAATGCTGCATGTGTTAAATACCTTGACGGAATGCTATGCATACAATAAAAACAAATGAGAGGATTTCAGGTAGAAGGCTAACAAACTGCCCTCAAAAAACTAACTTCAGTATTTGAGGAAAAAGCTGACATCAGCACACTGATTGTGATGCCAGTGAACAGTGAGAATGCCAACAGAGTGTTTGTGAACAGTGGGTGTGACATATCTGTGTTCCATTGATAACTTGTGAAGCTTTCTCGTTAGTGCATCTGACATGAATATGCACATGTTAGGATATTAGACAATGGTCCCATTTCTCTTGTACAGGACTTTGGAAGGAGCGCATCCTCCTCCTCAGACACAGAGCAACTCAGCAGTCCAGAGCAGGTCAAACCTATTCCAGTGTCCTTTGTCACAAAAAGGCGTGGGAAAGGGAGGAAGGTAGCAACTGGAAAGATGGCCTCCAAGGAGGAAATTAATACTAATGAAGAAGATATGGCACTTCCTGTTGAGAAAGAGGTAATTCAAGTTTTTCAGGTTTTATTTCTTTATTAAGAGAAACACAAGTTAAATAGAACCTTTGGTCTATTCTGCCACCACTTGGCAGGAAATGCCTGCCTTTCAATAGGCAAACCCAGTAATGTTAAGGAGTACTTGTAGCACGTTAGAGACTAACAAATTTATTTGAGCATAAGCTTTCGTGAGCTACAGCCCACTTCATCGGATGCATAGAACGGAACATGTAGTAAGGAGAGATATATACACATACAGAGAACATGAAAAGGTGGGATTTGTTAGTATCTAAGGTGCCACAAGTACTCCTGTTCTTTTTGCGGATACAGACTAACACGGCTGCTACTCTGAAACCAGTAATGTTATTGTCTTTGTATTTTGGTACCCTACTTTTCTGAAACTTGTGTCAACTGCTAGCTGCGATCAACTATTCCTGTTGTTGATAAAGAATAAGCTTAAACTTCAGATCACCTGTAAGCTGCATGGGTCTTTCCCAGAGTCATAATTTGACTTTAGGTGCTCAAATACCACAGTGGGTGCAGTTTAAGAACCTCATTAGAGATTAAGTCCCAGGACACTATAATCATGTTTCACTCTGTTTTCAGGCTAAATGCACTCAACTCTTGAAGGCTTTTTCTTAATAGACATTCTGATCACCAGATGAGTCTAGTAGCCATCTTTCCATTTTTTTTCAAGCATTGAAATATCCTCTTCCTTTCTGTACTCTATATGACACCATGTTCTAAGTATGGCTTTTCGATTGCTTTGTAGAATAAAGCCACAATTTCTCTATATATAATCATAAACAAGACAGAATTACACTTTGTGCTTGACTTGCCTTTGAAGGCATTCTTTTAGTTAGTAATGGAATAGCGCAAACTCTTCAATTTTCCCATATACTTAAAACTTGCTGAAACTCTTAAATTTGAAGAAACGTTTTTTAGACTTTTTTTCTTGTTCTTCATAACTGCAGGTTTCTTCAGCAGAGGTTGACGAAGCGTGTTCTTTAGAGAATTCTGAATATGAACTGCCCTCTTTTAAAATGGCCACCACCTTTCCTCCCCATTGTCCCTAATGGGATTAAAACCAAGCTGCCCTCAAAGATGGTCCCCCTCTTGTCAGTTTTTAAAATTATGTATAACTTTTGAAATGTCATTGTTGAGGAAACAACCAATTTTCTGCTTGTATTTGTGCAGTCTGAAGCAGAGCTGTACACAGTATTCCAGGTGCAGTTGCACCAAGGCTGCAGAGACATCACTATTTCTTAACTTGGTCCTGCAGCTGTTGAATTTCTCCTCCTCCTCCCTTACTCTGGCAGAATGACGACTAATGACAATCAAGAATTTTCCTTCTCATCTGTTATTTTTGTTAAAATATTTTCCTTCATGTTTGTGCTCTTCAGATAAATAAGAGTTTCTGTGTTCTCCTCTCCCACATCTGTGTATTGCAACATTCTTGGGTATTCCAACAAAAGGGTGGAACTCTATGCTGTACCTGATACATCCAGCGCAGCACTGGTGCCAAGCATGTTCATCATCCAGCCAATCAACTTGCATTAAATTCCGTGCTTCTACGATACTCTTTATCTCTGCTGGCTAGCTTGATGAAAAGGGAGTTCTAGCAAGAACTTTGCTTGCCCTACCTTGTTTATAAGCAGTCCATCTAATTAAAATAACATGGTAAAAATCTTTTCCTAGTGTTCCTGGAACATTATGAAATTGCTGAGATGACTAGGTGATCTCACTCTTTATCCTAAACATAAAGAGCGTGGGTCAGTTTGGAAAAATAGAGTAAAGGATGTTTTCAGTTTAAGTCACGCCGCTTTCTGAAATGTTAACTAGTATATAAAAGCAACACCTAAGATGACCAGAACTGAAAGAAAAACTTTCTTCAGTTGGTTTGCTTTTGCATTTAACAGCATTTGGTGTATGGAATGTTTCACTTTCCCTTGTATACACAGTAGGTCTCCCTTTGTGTAGGACTTTCTCTCTAGGTTGGAATGTGAGACTTTTTGTTTTAAAACAAAAAAAGTGGGGGGAGAAAAGGAGTGCAGAAGGAGTTTGTTTGTTTGAAAGGTGCCAAACGGATATAGCATATTAGGCCAGGTCTAAACTAAAAGCTTTTGCCGGTATAGCTGGGACAGATGTGAGACCTTGGAAACATGAAAGACTGTTACGTGGAGATGTCAGACGCTATGCACATATGGAATAGTGATTGACCATTGTATCAATAAGTGGTGTATGTAGCTTTGTGTTTCTGACTCACGGGATGGGTTTGCAGTGGAATCTAGAATTAGCGAGGGGTGGAAGTTTAATGCAAATTTCCAGTGCTGACTATGCAGATACCCAGCCCTTGAAAGCTTCTCCCCATAGGAGAAGTAGAATTAACTGGTTTTACCTGGTTTAGGAGGCCCTGAGAGACAAAGGCCAAAAAAATATATAAAGAGTCAGCCTGATCTGATTCATGGAGAGAGTCACTCTGGAACAGAGAACTGACAAACTTATGGACTTACCAGGATCTCATGCAGATGATAGGTCATATCTGGTAAGCTTAGGATGCATATAGATTGATTGTTGAATTTTTTTTCTCTGTACAGGTCTGTCTCATCTTACGCTGGGGTTACGTTCCGCGGTCAGCGCGTAAAGCGAAAACCGTGTATAGTCAAAATTACATTGAGTGTAATGGCGGGCGGAATCGCCCGCGCTACAGGAACAGTACTTAAATTGTTATTCTCTTTTTTTTTTTTTTTTTTGCTGACCGCGTAAAGCTGAATTTGCACGTTAAATGCGTGTAAGATGCGACAGACCTGTAATGCTTTTGACTTAAATAAATGTACTGTACTTTGCAAAAGCTGGTTGATCACTGACTCTCATTGTTCCTGAGAGAGCAGAACTGCAAGTGTTAAACTAAAGTCAGAGCTGCTGGGGCAAGCACAGTGAATTGCAAAGGGACTGTATCCCTAAAACTCTGATCTGGAGGGAGAAGAACATGGAGGTTCCCAGCCTGACACTTAAGGGGATGCTCTCGAGGGGACCACAAAAGGGGCATATGTGCAGTTAAACCCAGAACTGTGACAATAGCAATGTCCGTGGGTTTTTTTTGTTTTGTTTATAGGGGGTGAGAGATTGCAACACATATACCAGCAAAACTCCTGGTGTAGATGCAGGTATAGTGGCAACAAAGTGACTGTCGGTAGGCTTATTTTGCTTGCCAAATATAAGCTATCCGAAAAATCGCTTCTTTGCTGGTCTAAACTGCATCTACACTACTAGGGTTTGATGGTATAGCTATACCGGCAAACCTTTTCTATTGTAGAACTTGTCCTAAAGAACAGGCAGAACATCCTTGAAAAAAAGGCCTAACCTAAACATCTTTGAACTCCAGAATTATTCAGAAATGACAGAAAAAGTACCCCGGGATGGAGACAGCAAGACGCCAAAGACAAGGACAAAGACAAGCAAAAGACGCCAAACCGAGGAACCTGTAGCTAAGAACAAAGCTCCTGTGAACCCAGCGATGCATCCCATGCAGAGCCAGCAAAGGGAGAAGATGGTTTCTGCTAAACGAAATGGAGCTGAAAGTAAGGGGAAACTGCAAGTAGTTCTTAGTTTCGTTACTTACAATACTTCGAACAGGAATTTTGATTTATATACTATGTCCGTAAAAATATTGTGGAATGTCCTGGTGGTCTAATAGCCCAGATCGTTGTCCCATGACAGATTGTTTGTTTGAGGAATACCTTTCACTTAAAGGTGATATGTGAAGAATCTTTTAAAATTGGACTTGTGCACTTGTTTTCTTTATGAATTTTAAAGAAGGCTTGAAAGTTGGAAGAGGGTGAGGGTTCTGCTTGGGTTTTTTCCTTGGGACTGTCAAGTCTGGTCTTCCATAGTTTTGGTGAAGAACTTCTTGGGGGTCTGAACATGCCCTTACTTAAATAAACTAGTGTATGAAATCTTTAGCAAAGGTCCATTTCCCAAACATTATTTCTTGGAGAACTAGTAAAATAACCTTCATAAGTTTAAAGCGAGTGAAAGGTGAGCAATTGAGAATGGAAGGGATTTTGGGTCAGGCTGTTCAAAACCTTTTTTGTTAACTATTTAAATCCAGTCACCATAGCCTTTCAGGGTAGACAAGACCTGCATTTCTTATGTGAAAAGCAAGCTGAATATTAAAAAAACCTTTCAGGCCTTCTTTATATATTGTTTAGAAGAAGAAGACGAAGATGGGGTGCACAATCCCAACTATTTTCCTTTGCAGGTCACCTTTAAATTCAGTGCCTCTTGGATTATCATAAATGTGGTACTCTCTTCCTGAGGAAAGAGGTGGGGAAGAGTACTTCATGTGTTGTACTTCATTGGCCTCTGCTTGCAGATGACTCAACTTTCCCAGATGTGTAGTTAGTATAAATTTATACTCGGGCTAGGAAAAAAACATTATTGTTGGGCAGCTTAGACAGCAAAAAAACATGTCCAGGCAAGTGAAACTTCATCATTCCCTGCCTGCTGTGTTTGATGTGATACTGAAAATCAGAACTGGTATCTTCCTCACTTGTGTGTGTGGCCGTGGCCGTGAGCAGGTTTCAGGGGATCTGCCAAAATAAACCACAGAGCAGGACTGGCGTTAGACTCGCTGGGGCCTAGGACAGAAAGCCAAAGCCCGAGCCCCATCGCCCAGGTTTGAAGCCAAAGCCTGAGCAACTTAGCTTTACGAGGCCGCCTATGATGTCGGGCCCTGAGCCATTGCCCTGCTTGCTACCCCCCTAATGCCAGCCCTGGCTTTTAATCTACTGGATATGGAGAAAAACAGTTGTGGCACAGGTGGGCCACGGAATTTTTATAGCATGCTGTGGGGAAGGGCTCAGAAAGAAAAAGGTTGAGAACCCAAGCACTAAGCCATATACAACCCCATGCTCTGCTCCAGGAAGATGGCACAATAGGTATGTACAGTCCCTGAGTTGCAGCATGGGCATAACTGCTGTTCAGTAGAGTATGCAAGAAAACTGTTATGGGAAGCCAACTTTAATGTTTCGCCCCAAGTTAGATACACCATTCAACACACCCAGTTGAGTTTTTCAAGCAACACACAATATATAAGAGCCTTCTGTTTGACCCAACAAGTTGAGCTTTCAGATTGAGAAACAACTGTAGTATCCCTCTTACATCATGATCATAGTTCTTGTTTGAGTTTACACTTGCTGCCTTCTGTCTGAGCAATGGTTCCTTCTAGTGACACAACAAGTGTTCTGTTACAAGCCTACAGAGAAACTTACACACATGGGTTAAAAGAAATCACTAATTTTCCCACCCCTTGGTCCCATTGTAGTTTGGTTTTTTTCCCCCAATATCATGGAGCTATTCTATACTGATTTCAACACAGACCTGAAATAAGGAATAATTGAGCACTCGCTTTCTGTGTACAAATGCTATCATACTCTAATTGAACGTCTTTTTAAAAAATACAGCTGTTTGTGAATTGTATTAAAATGAAGAAAGAAGAGTAACTGAACTCAACAGAAATAGCGGTGTAGACATGATACAAAAGAAGCTGAATTCAAACCATAAAAATTAGGAAAAGATTCAAGACTTATTGGCTAAATCTTTAGTCACTGTGTGGTTCTGCTCTCAAGTCTCTAAGTAAAAATGTCACCCCCTGTTTAAACAGATAAGCTCCCAGATGTGCATTCAGGTATCTCTGCTTACAATAGTCATGGAAGCTTTTATTATTACTAGTATTAGTGCTGCAGAGCCAACACCGCTAAGAGAAAGTGAGTTGGGTTCTGTTCCTTTAAGCATAATCAACACAATACTACTAATTCTAATGGAGTACTACTCATACAGGGCCAATCCAATTACACTTTGTGCAGGCAATTGGGTTGCCACCCAGAGCAGAACTTGGCCTGCAGAACCTTTACTGATGGTGATGCATGAGAAGGAAATAACCTGCCTTGACTTTCCGATACCATATTGAACTTGCAGTTGGCAAAGTCATCCTATTACTTGAGTACCCCTTTGATGTGGAGGCCTTTTGAGAGACTATAAACATGGAACTCCACAATTCCATTTTTACTTCTCGTACTAGAGCCCAATTTAAGGGAGTGAGTACTTCTTTGGCATACAAGCTTCCAGAGTTTCATGAAGCAAAAGAATAGCTTGAGTTTTAGTAGCATTAAGCTAACCTTCCAGTAGTTTTAACAGACTTGTTTGATTTGATTGTACCAGATGACACTCTTCCAGCCCATCCTCCAGCTGGGAAGATCCCTCGATATGTAGACCGTCTGTCTAAAACTGGAAAAACAGGAGTGAAACCCATTACGCCAAGTAAGTTATTTACTATCTCTGAAAATAGGCTTATTGTCCATGTATGAAAGGAGACTTGCTTGTTACTGCCTAAATGAATCCAATCTCATTCTTTTTTTCAATATGGGGCTCGAAATCTCATAGGGCTTGCTTGGGGGAAAACATCTTGCTCTTTTATAAAGCAATTGTCATGGCTCTGAAGTGTTCCAGTGTGGTGTATATCTGCCTGTGTTTCTCCAAAGAGCTGGTTGTGTGTTGGTAGTAGATAAATTTGCTTAGTTTTAAAATCAGTTTGTCAAGTGCTTTGGAACCCTTCGGGGTGAAAAGCATTGTAAGGGTTTTTTTAACAGACAGGAATGCTAAATTATGTTACTATCTTTTTTCTTTGAACTAATGATCTGCCCTAAAATGGATGACCAGTAACTGAAGTAATAATGACTTGCCATTTGTTTAGGACTAGTCAAGGCAGAGATAGGCGACCACTTCCACTTGTTTTTAATCACTTCGACCAATGGTCTCAACCTATTTACCATTGTTGGCCACATATGAAGCGCTTCTGTTATGTGGACCAAATCTACACTAAAATATATATCTATATACTGCCTGTATGGCCCTGAGGATGTCACATGGGCCGCACCTGTGTGCTGATGGGGCCGCAGTTTGAGAACCACTGACTTAGACTCACAGGATACAGTCAGGAAAAATAGTGCACTTAGATTTTTTTTTTCTCCTATCCCCTAGTGACAATTATTCCAGGTTTGCACCATCCTCTGATCATTTAAACTTGCCTATAAATGACCAATCTTGACAATTTCTCTTTCATATTTTTGGAATTTTGAAGATTTCAAGAAGCTGCATGAGGCTCACTTCGAGAAAATGGAGTCTATTGATGCCTACATTGAGAGAAAAAATAAACTGATTGAAAACTTCAGCAATTCTATCAATGAGGTTAAGGTAAGAATCATTAGAGGATCATATCCCTCATCCCTACATTCTTCTAAAATCTAGAGAGGGTTCTTTATTGCATTATCTCCGCACAGTCCCTCAGTATGAGTCATGCATTTACCCATGTGGCTAAAGAACCATTTTTGAGGAGTAGTTTACTAGTAGGGGGCCCATGCAATTTCAACGATCCTAACATCCCATAGACTGCAAGGATATAAGTTTATCCTGAGTACTTTGACTGTCCTTTCTGCCTGCCACAGAACTAACCTTTCTCTGACTCTATCGTGGTAGCATAAATACTTTATAAGTAGTTCCTTTAAAAAAAAAAAAAAAAAGAGTAGACTCCTAATTACATTGGTGGGGTTGTTTGGCTTTTTTGTCTACCTTCTTAATTGTCTCTGAGTTGCCATGGAACTTGAGAATCTTAAAAAGTGGGATTGAAATGGTGGACTTGACCTGTTAATGCCCATCCAAAGTGGAAAACTTAAGTGCTTTTTATATACCTTCTTAGGGAAAGACATTCGACTCACCTTCAAAAAACATGGCATGTAAATGGTTTTTGAAGGCCCTTGATCTCTCTCAAATTCTGTATTCTAAACTTGAACGTGTGGGAATTCTAAAATAATGGCATTTCCAGATGTGACAAATGTGTGCACATGCCAAGATTTACAGCAATGTACACCAATGAATATGGTCAAAACAAGAACATTGAAACTTATTCTGAATGTTACGTTTCTTATCTTGCTGATAGATACCAAGTGTATGGATGAGTATTTAAGACCCCATACATTTTATTTTTGCAGATGTTGGCTAAAAAAGCTAACCACCCAAAGGCATGTGAGAAAGGAACTCCACACAGCAATTCTAAGGTGAGGGTTCTTCCTCCCCGCCCGCCCCTCCCGCCCAGATAATCTTTTCTGTCTAGTTACGAGGGAGATCTTGTATTTTTTGAAATATTATTCTTTAAAGCAGACTGATCTGTGCACTTGTGATTAAATGTATTATGTTCTGTAGCTCCAGCACAATCCAGGCAGCAGTGCCTATCCGAATGCTAAACTCTTGTAGAATGTGCTAAATGCCCACTTCTGTGTTTCTAGAAACGCTCCGGCGGCAGAGTGTTTTTATTCAGCCCACATCCCCAAAGAGGAAGGTTCTCTACCAGTTGTACTCCAGGCAACCTGCGGCGCTCCCCACGCATCTCTGTAGGCACCGGAAATCTGAGTATTTTATCTCAGAAATCTTTATTCAATCCCTCCATTCTCTCAACAACCAAAATGAATGTCAGGTAAAAAGGACTCACCAGAAACATCAGTCAAGTATTTGGTATAATATATAAACAACACAGTGAATTAAATCATGAAATTTAAAAATTGAATTTGAAAATTAAATTGCAATAAAAACATTGTGTGATTGTTGCATTAGTTGTTGATAGCAATTCCATATTCATGACAAGGAATGTGCCAAAGGATTATGTATTACAGCGTTTCATGTTTTCTCTGATAGATAATAAGAGATTTACATTGGTTGAAATGTTTTTAATGAGCACCTGTTAATGCAGGAAGGTTCAGATCTTTATTCCGACTAATAACTACTTCCTTTCAGATTCTCAGAAGCTACAAAAGATAATGAACACAAGCGCTCCCTTACCAAGACTCCATCTAGAAAGTCACCATTCTTGGAGATTTGCACACCTGATAGCCAGAAAAGTGGCAAACCCACAATTAGAAAGAGCACTAATGGAAATGCAACAAACCATGAGCTGACTGCATCAAAGACCAACCCTAATGGTAATCTTCTGAGAAACTGATGCTATAAAATGTACATAATATTTGGAAACAAGCTTTAATGCTTTAGCAAAGGGCAAGGGGAGATGTATTATTTCCCAAGACTGGAATGATTCTTTAGGGGACTGCAATATCTTGTTTTTTTTAAATTTATATTTTCTTTGAACTGAAAAGGGTAGGTGCTAAAAATCTTTGGATAAGATAAAAGGCAAGAAATTATCTCCAGTCTATCTGTTCTTATTGTGTGTGGTTGAGCAGTTTCTGTATTATGCTATTAGCACAGGGGTGGGCAAACTACGGCCCGCAGGCCGGATCCGGCCCCTCAGGGCTTTGGATCCGGCCCGCGGGACTGCCCCTGTGGTGCAGTGGGCCCCGTGCCCATGAGGCCTCTGGGCGGGGAGGGGCAGAGGGCTCTGTGCGTTGCTCTTGCCTCCAGGCATCGCCCCCTGCAGCTCCCATTGGCCAGGAACAGGGAACCACGGCCAATGGGAGCTTCGGGGGAGGTACCTGTAGGCACAGCAAAGGCAGCACACACGGAGCACTCCGCCCCCCCCCACCCCCCTTCCCCAGGGGCCGCAGCACTTCCTGGAGCAGCGCAGGGCCGGGGATAGGACAGGCAGGCAGGGAGCCTGCTCTGGCCCTGGTGCGCACCACTGCTACCCCCAAAGCCCTCCTGCACCCCGCCCCCAACTCCCTGCCCTAAGCCCCCTGCCTGCACCGTGCACCCCTCCTGCACCCCAACTCCTTGCCCTAAGCCCCCTGCCTGCACCATGCACCCCTCCTGCACACCAACTCCCTGCCCTGAGCCCCCTCGTACACCCCGCACTTCTCTTGCACCCCAACCTCCTGCCCTGAGCCCCTTGCCGCACCCCTCCTGCACTCCAACCCCCTTCCCTGAGCCCCCCTCATACACCCCGCACCCCTCCTCTGCCCCAAACCCTTGCCCTGAGCCCCTTCCTGCACACCACACCCCCTCCCACACCCTGCACTCCCTCCCGCACCCCAACCCCCTGCCCCGGCCCTGCATACAATTTCTCCATCCAGATGTGGCCCTCAGCCCAAAAAGTTTGCCCACCCCTGTATTGGCAGATAAAAGCGCCACAAGGAAACATAAAAGCACCATTGCAGACTTGGTACTAGAGTACTCCAGAAGAGGTTTAAGTGTCATTGTAGAAAAGCTCCCTGGACCACCAAATAACCATGCAATGGAATAGGTAACGAGCTATCATACTTGCTCTAGAGAAGTGGAAAACCATGTATGGTGTGATGCATGACTTACCAGTCTCAAAATATACCCATACAATTGTATAGAAGTCCCACTTCTGATAATAAAACTAACCGTTCATATCCTACAGAGTACTGAAGTTGAGAGCAGGGAAGCAAGCGTTGAGACAGCATGTGAAGGTCATGTCCTGAGGTAGAAATAAATTAGATAGCTAAAATCAATCCTGAGCAAGAAATCAGTATTAGAACAGCTTGAGTGATTTACTTTGTTTTGGGTAGTTTGGGATTAGGGTTAAATTCAACATTTCTTGGAAGTGTTGATAAAAGTTTGTATGGGATAATAGCTGGCCTACATATAAGGGATAAGGCACCCCAGGTAGTCTTGTTTTCTTAAACATCTTAAGAAAGGACTGAGCTCCTCACTATTCACACCTCACGTCCTATGTGGCACATTTGACCTATGTGTCAAGGACCCAAGAATGGTATGCAGGCATTTATGCCAATCAGTACAGTATCCATTTGTTGGTTAAGACATAGAGAATCTTGAACTGCTAGAGAATTAATGTTTTTTAAATGAAGACTTAGATTCTGAAGTAAATTATGTAGCATTCTAAAAATAATCCCTGTTTCTGTAGCAAACTACAAGACCATGTAAATTGTATTATACATGTGACTCGCAACTTTTATTTGGTACTAACAGTTTTCTCAGTGGTGTGTAGGTAGAACTGTTAACAGCTATCCAGTACCCGCAGTGTCTTCCAGCGTGGACCATGTGCTAGACTGTGTCACGGACACTTCCCTTTCCATTCATAGTTTTGTGGACCACCTTCCATGCTCCTCATGATTGCAGGCCAACCTTATGTAACCTACAGTAATTGCTTACATGAAAAATAGCAATAGTACTTAATGTATTTTTAGTTGTGATTTAAGGTGACAGCTGGAAATAAGCATCATGTGATCAGCATGCTCTCCGTAGACCACTGGGAGACCACAGGCCAGTTGAGAAACACTGAACTAGATATGGCTTAGCAACTCTGCTACATACCAGGGCTATCTACTTAAAACCAAACCAAAAGAGTGAGACCTTCCACATCTGCCCTTCGTACACTGTTGCCCCATATTGTTCAACCTCTTCCCTGTTATCCAAAGTGTTAAATGTGTTTTCAATGGAGTACATTTTATAGTGTGTGGATCCTTGGTAGTTTGTAAGATCCTATGGTACTTTGGTTTGACTGGCTTAAAGAATTGGGCTGTTGTAGTGCTCTCCTTATGTAGTTTCCCAACTGTTCGCTTTTAAGAGCGGAAATTCTTGTTCCCTCTCTCTAAACATGGTACCCTGGTTTTCTTTTTAGCTGTTACACCATTCAAGTTTGCAGCTCAGACTGCAGAACCCACAAGTACCAAGAAGCCAACATTTGATCTGAAAGCAAGTCTGTCAAGGCCACTTGGATATCAGCCACACAAAGGTACTGTGACTTTGTGCTATTTCCATAGGGGAGACAAAAGCACTGAGCTTATGAAAGAGGGCATTCTTGCATTATGTGCAGCAACAAAGCACCTCTGTCATACCACATATCTGATCCCACATTCTACATGGGGGATGTAGCCTTAAAAATGATAGCTTGTGCTCTGAAGTTAAACCATTCAAAGTATGTTCTCTAGCAGAGAGGCTTTTGCTAAGACAATCTGGGCTTTTAACAGCTGGACTGGTTCTTTCTGTTTGCTGCTAGAGGAATTCTAGTTTCTCAAGTGTTTAGACATACTGCCTTCTAGGTGTCAGAACATCAAGTTCAAATAAACAGGCAACTTTTTCCAAGCCCTGTCTAATACCTAATCACCAGGCTGAAAAACACACCCTCCTGTTGGGCCTATAGACGCTGGATTCCTGCTGACTGAGCTCTGCTGCCAATTAATGCTGCCCTCCTAACACCACCACACAAAACAAGTCAGTTCTGGGACACCTCCACAACAACATATGTCCCCACATAAATCAAGTTCTTTGAGTGATTGCTCATGTCCATTCCATTGTAGGTGTGTGTGTTCGCCACATGCACTGCTGTCGGAAGTTTTTCCTTCAGTGGTATCCGTAGGAGACTAACTCTGGCACCCTCTGGAGTGGTGCATGTATGTGCTGGTATAAGGGGCACCGCTGGCTCCCTCCTCCCTCAGTTCCTTCGTACCACCAGTGACCAGTGCTGGAACGTTTCCTTGCCTCGGCTAGCTTACTTCTCTCAACTGTGTCTAGTTATGAACTTTTTGTATATAGTTAAAAACTTCTAGTTTTACAGTTCCCTTAGTGTTAGAGTTAGTAATAGTTGGTTAGTTCTGGATGGGACTTAGCCTAGGGATGGGGCCTTGTGACTGCTGCAAGAAACCTATGCCAGTCAGTGATCCCCATAAAAGATGTCTAAAGTGCTTGGAGGAAACCCATGTGAGCGACAAGTGTCACATCTGTAAGAGGTTCAGGCCACGAACAAAAAAGAAGCAGGACATTTGTCGTTGAGCACTCTTTATGGAGTCAGCCTTCGCACTGGCATTGGAGCCGACTAGATCGGACTCTGCTCCAAGCACTGCAGCCTCGGTGCGGAGTGTGCCACCAGCACCGACCTCCGACTGGCACTGATCCCCATCCCTGGTACCGGTTGAAAAGCAAAGAAAGGCCTGGAGAGGGCATTATCCTGTGTCCCGTAAAGGGAAGGAGAGAGCCAGAGGACAGCAAAGACCCATGAGGGGCAGCTTTTTCTCTATGGATGGTGGCCAGGCTCCAGCACCTACAGAGCTGTTTGGGCCCACTTTGAGATCCACCCACCACCCCAGAAAGCAGTAGAGGCACTCAGCACCTGGTGGTGCTGTCCACACCAGAGGCTGCTAAGAATATATTGTCCCTTGTGGTGCTGCCCCTGCCTGCTACTAAGGTGCACCATTCAAGGGGAAAACCCATCCTGGGACCCTTCCAGCGGTCTCTGTCAGTGCAGCAGCGCTCACCTGAACAGTGCCACCAGCCCCCAGATGCGGGTCAGCTTACCTACCAGAGTTCCCAGTGTTGTTTTCCAGTCTCTAGGCAGTGTTCACTGGGATCCCAGCATCAATCACCGTCTGTCTGGCACAGACCCTTGAAGGCGCATCACCAATCCCCAGAACCCCAGCGCTTAGAGCATCTGAATAGGTCTCCAGACTCGTGGCACTGTTCTGGAGGGTTGATACGCCGGTCCCCCAAGTCCTGTTACCAGTCTCCAGTTCACTGGTACAGATCTCCATGGGCACGTTGACGGTCTCCAAGATGTCGATCCTCTCGCTCCCGTTCTCACTCCTGGTCCACGGAGCAGCACTGCTCTCACAGCGTGAAGCTTCGATAGCCGGGGTACTGTCGCCGAACGCAGCCACCAGTCACTGGAATCGTGGCACCGAGAGACATCGTCCCAGTACAGCTCCCCAGTGGAGGTCCGCAGAGAGAGCCGACAGGAACAGGGTAGACAGGTGACATCAGTCCTGTCCTGGTCCCCCAGACAAGTCTCCCCCTCTTCAGGCTCAAAGCAAGGAGGAAGACCTGCCCTCAGGCCAAGGGCACCCGCCGGGACCATCAGCATTTCCTTCTGGGCCCCAAGGGGCTGCATGGCCCCAGGGCCAATTGCCAAACCCCTGGCATCTGTGGAACCCCTGGACATTTCCCCAACCGTCGCTGGGGCATCAGTTGGTCTCAGGGACATTGGAAAGACAGTCGGCCACAGTCTCCTGCCCACCCCCTGACTCGGAAGCGGAGTCAGAGAACTCCACAGGGACAGCCTGGCAGAGGCAGTGGAGTTACCAGGCCCACCTATACCTGCCTCCTCTTCATCTTTGCCCGACGAGGCGATAGCGGGGCCCTCTCACACAGTCCCCCAGGATGACGCAAAAGCCCACCAAGAGCTTTTGAAAAGGGTGGCTTCAAACCTCGGGCTGGAAGCCGAGGAGCTGGTGGAGCCCTTGGAACTCCCTGTTCAATGTGCTGAGTGCAGCAGCCCCCTCGAAGGTGGCATTACCAGTACACATGGGAGTTGTGAAACTGATCAAAGCCCTTTGGCAAACCCCCTCCTCCCTGCCCCCATCTCTAAGTGGGTGGAGCGGAAGTACTATATCCCCACTAAAAGGTTTGAATACTTGTACAAACGCCCCAAGCGCGCTGGTGGTGTCAGCAGCCAATGAGCAGGATAGACAAGGCCAACCGGGATCGACCCCTAAGAATAAGGAGTTGGCGAAGCTCGATCTTTTCGGTAGAAAGATTTATTCTATGGCCAGTCTTCAGCTAAGAGTGGCCAATCATCAGGCCCTACTTGGCCACTATGATTATAACATTTGGCAGTCCGTGGCCAAGTTCACAGAGTCGCTGCCTGAGGAGCCCAGGAAGGAATTCCTGGCTATTCTGGAGGAGGGCAGAGCGGTAGTCAGGGCAGGCAAGCAGGAGCGTGCCACTAGCACCGACCTCAGACTGGCACCGATCCCCATCCCTGGGTACCGGTTGAAAAGCAAAGAGATGCCGGGAGAGGGCGTTATCCTGTGTCCCGTAAAGGGAAGAAGAGAGCCAGAGGACAGCAAAGACCCATGAGGGGCAGATGCAGCAGACCTCCGCGTCCCGGTCTATGACTTCGGCCATTTCAATGAGGCGGGGATCCTGGTTGTAGTCATCGGGTTTGTCAGCAGAGGTTCAGCAATCCATCCAGTACCTTCCCTTTGACGGCTTGGTGTTGTTCGCAGAACAGACAGCAAGTTGCATGGCCTAAAAGACTAGGGCCACCTTGCACTCGCTGGGCCTGTACACTGAGGCACCCACGAGGAAGTGGTTCAAGCCACAACAGTCCCACAGGTTCGGGGGCTCTTCCCAATCAGAGCCATTCCTTAAAAAGGGCAGGGGCTACAAGCGCCGGCAAGGCCGTCAGCTGGCCTCCTCAGCTTACTCGAGCTCTAGCTTCACCCAATTGGGTAATAAGTAGGCATTTTGAGGGTGCGCTCAAGGGCGACCTTCCAGCCTCTGTCCTGGATCCAGCATCCCTGTTTTTTCCCCAACCACCTATCTCCCTTCCTCCCTGCCTGGGGCTCTATACACCGGACCAGTGGGTCCTCAGCACAGTTGCAGGGGGGTATATCCTTCAGTTTATTTCTATTCCCTTCCTCCCTCCCTGTCTCTTTTCAGGGACTCTTCTCACAAGCATCTACTTGCTCAGGAGGTGCTGGGCCTTCTGCAGGTGGGAGCAGTAGAGAAAGTTCCTCCTCTATCTTGGTGGGTCCTGCGCTTATTGGCAGATTTTCTTGCCTCAGAGATTCACCATGTGGGTTGGGGAACAGCCCAGAGATCTTCCCCTCTGGGAGAACCCACAGTCCAGGTCAATTGGGAGGTTTGGGGGGAACCCGGGCCCGCCCTCTACTCCGGGTTCCAGCCCAGGGCCCTGTGGACTGCAGCTGTCTATAGTGCCTCCTGTAACAGCTGCATGACAGCTACAACTCCCTGGGCTACTTCCCCATGGCCTCCTCCAAACACCTTCCTTATTCTCACCACAGGACCTTCCTCCTGGTGTCTGATAACGCTTGTGCTCCTCAGTCCTCCAGCAGCACACCCTCTCACTCTCAGCTCCTTGCGCCTCTTGCTCCCAGCTCCTCACACTCGCACCACAAACTGAAGTGAGCTCCTTTTTAAAACCCAGGTGCCCTGATTAGCCTGCCTTAATTGATTCTAGAAGCTGCTTCTTAATTGGCTCCAGGTGTCCTAATTAGCCTGCCTGCCTTAACTGGTTCTAGCAGGTTCCTGATTACTCTAGTGCAGCTCCTGCTCTGGTCACTCAAGGAACAGAAAACTACTCAGCCAGTGACCAGTATATTTGCCCTCTACCAGACTCCTGTACCCCACTGGTCTGGGTCTGTCACAGCACTTACGGGGAAAAGGGTTTTATTCCTGCTATTTTTTTTATCCCAAAGGGGGTCTATGCCCTATCCTGGACCTGCGGGGCCTCAATAAGTATCTCAAGAAGTTGAAGTTCTGCATGGTCTCCCTGGCCTCCATCATTCTTTCCCTAGATCCGGGAGCCCAGAAGGATGCCTGCTCACATACCAATATTTCAGGGACACAGACGCTTCCTACGTTTCATACTACCAATTTGCTGTGCTCCCCTTTGGCCTAGCAAAGGCATCAATGGTATTCACAAAGTGCATGTTGGTGGTAGCGACCTACCTCAGATGTTACGGTATCCAGATATACCTGTACCTCAACAACTGGCTCATCAAGGGCCGCTCCAGGTCCAGCGCAGTGTCAAGAAGTTGCGGGCCACTTGCCAAGCTTTAGGCCTGTTGATAAACGAACAAAAATAAACATTAATTCTGATTCAAAGGATAGAATTTGTCGGAGCAGTACTCGACTGTATCCGAGCCAGAGCATTCCTGCTGGAGATGAGGTTCAGGGCAATGGCAGATCTGATTGCCAGCATCACAACCCATCCGCTTGCCACTGCCTGGGTCTGCCTCAGACTACTGGGGCACATGGCAGCTTGCATGTATGTTGTCTGTCATGCGAGACTCAGGCTGCGTCTCCTCCAGATGTGGCTGGCGTCCGTCTACTCCCTGGACACATATCACCTGGACAAGATTGTCACAATCCCACACCACAGGTATGTACCTCCCTGCTGTAGTGATCCGATCCAACTCTGGTAATGGAAGGTGTGCCGTTCGCAAGCCCACGACCCACGGTTTCCCTGATTTCAGACGCGTCTGACCTCGGTTGGGGAGTGCATCTCTATGTACTGCGGACTCAGGGATTATGGTCTCGGGAGGAGCTTGCGTTACATTTAAATGTCAGAGAACTTAGAGCCATTTGCCTGCCTTGTGGAGGCTTCCTTTCCCAGCTGTCCGGTCAGGTGGTGCAGGTGTTGACGAACAACACAGCCTCCATGTTCTATGTCAACAGGCAGGGGACAGCTTGTTCGTCGGCTCTGTGCAAAGAAGCCCTCCATCTATGGGACTTCTGCATTCAGTATGCAATCCACCTGGAAGCCTCGCACCTCCCTGGCTTCCTGAACACGCTGGCGGATCACCTCAGCAGGTTCTTCTCTCACCACGAGTGTTCCCTTCACTCTGAAGTCGTCAGGATGCTCTTCCAGAAGTGGGGAGCTCCCCGAGTGGACCTGTTCGCCACCAGATAGAAGAGAAAGCGTCATCAGTTCTGCGCTCCTCAAGGCCTAGGCAGAGGCTTATTTTCCAATGCCTTTCTCCTGTCATGGTCCGCAGACCTGATGTACGCCTTCCCGCCGATTCTACTCATGAGCAAGGTTCTCTTGAAGATCAAGAGGGACAAGGCGTGGGTCATGGACGTACCAGCATTGGTTCGGCATGCTCATGGACCTGGCCATAGTGGCCCTGTGGCCACTTTACAGCCGCCCAGAGCTACTCTCACAGGATCACGGTCAGCTCTTGCACTTGAACCTCACCGCTCTCCACCTCACGGCTTGGCTGCTGCGTGGCTGAACCTAGAGGAACAAACCTTCTCTAGTCAGGTACAGCAGGTTCTCTTGAAGGGCAGAAAACCCTCTACCAGAGTGACTTACCTGGAAAAGTGGAACCATTTCTCCTGCTGGGAGTCAGAGTGGAAAATCTCCCTGACCCAGTCGTCCCTGCAGTCCATCCTGGATTACCTGCTTCACTTGAAGCACCAGGGCCTCGCCTTTTCCTTGATCAAGGTGCACTTGGCAGCCATATTGGCCTTCCATACCAGCGTCCAGGGTAAATCTGTATTCTCACATGAGATGACAATCATGTTCTTGAAAGACTCTTTCCGCCAATCCGGGGCCCGGTTCCCCAATGGGACCTTAACCTGGTCCTCTCCAGGCTCATGGGTCCACCCTTTGAGCCTATGGCTTCTTGTTCCCTCTCTACCTGTTGTGGAAGGTTGCATTCCTTGTAGGCATTACTTATTGAGCACGTTGAGTCTCAGAGATTAAAGCCCTCACTTCAGAGCCCCCATATACGGTATTCTACAAAGACAAGGTTCAGCTGCGACCCCATCCGGCCTTCCTGCTGGAGGTGGTGTCGCACTTCCATGTCAATCGGGATATCTTCCTCCCTGTGTTCTGTCCAAAGCCTCACATAATCAATGAGGAGAGATGCCTGCACACTCTAGATTTCAGGCGTGCCCTGGCTTTCTACTTGGAGAGCACCAAGGCCTTCGGCAGATCGACTCATCTCTTTACTGCGATCACTGACAGGATGAAGGGCCTTCCAGTGTACTCTCAGAGGATTTCAAACTGGATTACCACCTGCATCCACACTTGTTACAAGTTGGCGCAGTCTGTGTCTCCACCGATAATGAAGGCTCACTCTACTGGAGCTCAAGCGTCTTCAGCTGCCTTCCTGGTGCATGTCCCTGTCCAGGACATCTGCAGGGCTGCGAGCTGGTCTTTGGTACACATGTTCACCACACATTACGCCATTACCCAGCAGGCCAGAGATGATGCTGGATTTGGCAGAGCTGTGTTGCAACTGACACGTCCATGAACTCCTGCTCGCCTCCAGAGGTACTGCTTGGGAGTCACCTATAATGGAATGGACATGAGCAATCACTCAAAGAAGAAAAAACAGTTACTAACCTTTTGTAACTGTTCTTTGAGATGTGTTGCTAATGTCCATTCCATGACCCACCCTCCTTCCCCTCTCTCGGAGTTCCCGCAAGAAGGAACTGAGGGAGGGAGAAGCCAGCGGCACCCCTTATACTGGCAAATACGTGGGCCACTCCAGAGGGCACCAGAGCTGGTCCCCTATGAATACCAGTGAGGGAAAAACTTTCAGCACCAGTACATGTGGTGAGCACACCCACCTACAATGGAATGGACACTACACGGGGAACTACAAGCCAGTCAGCCTCACCTCAGTCCCTGGAAAAATCATGGAGCAGGTCCTCAAGAAATCAATTCTGAAGCACTTAGAGAGGAAAGTGATCAGGAACAGTCAGCGTGGATTCACCAAGGGCAAGTCATGCCTGACTAACCTAATTGCTTTCTATGACGAGATAACTGGCTCTGTGGATGAGGGGAAAGTAGTGGACATGTTATTCCTTGACTTTAGCAAAGCTTTTATTACAGTCTCCCACAGTATTCTTGCTGGCAAGTTAAAGTAGTATGGGCTGGATGAATGGACTATAAGGTGGATGGAAAGCTGGCTAGATCGTCTGGCTCAACGGGTAGTGATCAATGGCTCCATGTCTAGTTGGCAGCGGAGTGCCCCAAGGGTCGGTCCTGGGGCCAGTTTTGTTCAATATCTTCATTAATGATCTGGAGGATGCGTGGACTGCATGCTCAGCAAGTTTGCAGATGACACTAAACTGGGAGGAGTGGTAGATACGCTGGATGGTAGGAATAGGATACAGAGGGACCTAGACAAATTAGAGGATTGGGCCAAAAGAAACCTGATGAGGTTCAACAAGGACAAGTGCAGAGTCCTGCACTTAGGATGGAAGAATCCCATGCACCGCTACAGACTAGGGACCGAATAGCTAGGCAGCAGTTCTGCAGAAAAAGACCTAGGGGTTACAGTGGACGAGAAGCTGGATATGAGTCAACAGTGTGCCCTTGTTGCCAAGAAGGCTAATGGCATTTTGGGCTGTATAAGTAGGGGCATTGCCAGCAGATCGAGGGACGTGATCATTCCCCTCTATTCGACGTTGGTGAGGCCTCAGTGTCCAGTTTTGGGCCTCACACTACAAGAAGGATGTGAAAAATTGGAAAGAGTCCAGCGGAGGGCAACAAAAATGATTAGGGCGCTGGAGCACATTACTTATGAGGAGAGGCTGAGGGAACTGGGATTGTTTAGTCTGCAGAAGAGAAGAATGAGGGGGGATTTGATAGCTGCTTTCAACTACCTGAAAGGGGGTTCCAAAGAGGATGGATCTAGACTGTTCTCAGTAGTACCAGATGACAGAACAAGGAGTAATGGTCTCAAGTTGCAGTGGGGGAAATTTAGGTTGGCTATTAGGGAAAACTTTTTCACTAGGAGGGTGGTGAAGCACTGGAATGGGTTACCTAGGGAGGTGGTAGAATCTCCTTCCTTAGAGGTTTTTAAGGTCAGGCTTGACAAAGCCCTGGCTGGGATGATTTAGTTGGGGATTGGTCCTCCTTTGAGCAGGGGGTTGGACTAGATGACCTCCTGAGGTCTCTTCCAACCCTGATATTCTATGATTCTATGACATGAGCAACACATCTCAAAGAACAACAGTTATGAAAGGCTAGTAAGGTTAGTTTTTTCTGCTGACCCTAGAGTCTGCTGCTGTGTTGTCAAGACAGCCCCACTCAGAGCTTTCTGCTCAGATGGCAGGGAGCTGAGGCTGCTCTTCTCCTGGACCAGGCCACTTCCCCTCCCTCTAAAACAGGGCATAGTAGATTAAGGAACAGGAAGGATTTGGTCAAAGACCATGGTGGCAGATCCCTGCCTTCCACAATAGCAGAGAGGGCTCCATTATGGGGTAGTCCCCAGTTAATGCTACCCCACAGGCAGGGTTCTGAAGGGAGGCTTCTGCCACCCCCAGCAGAAAGCCCTCTCCCCAAATAGCTGGCTAGTATCCAGATTGATGTAATTGACCAGGGTGTTTGTGCTTGATCTTAGATGCAGTCAGGCAACTTATGTTATCTATAGAGTTGAGAATGTGTGTATTTATGTTGTTAATACTGACAATTACTAAATGTTAATAACTAGCTGGTCTGTTTTTTATTTATTTATTTATTTATTTTTGCTTCTTACAATGTAGGAAGACTGAAACCTTGGGGTGACTCAAAAGAAAACACTGTCCTGAATAAATCTATGAATAGCAGTGTCTCTTCACACACACAAGATTACAAACAGCCACGTCTCCAGACCAGGTCAGTACAAGGGTGTTTTAGGTGCCATTTTAACACTAGAACTCTGTAGGAGAACACTAAGGCCTGGTCTACACTAGGCTTTTATGTCGACTTTAGCGCCGTTATATCGAATTAACCCTGCACCCGTCCACACCAGGAAGCCATTTAGTTCGACATAAAGCTCTCTTTAAATCGATTTCTGTAATCCTCCCCAACGAGAGGAGTAGCGCTAAATTCGACATGGCCATATCGAATTAGGCTAGGTGTGGATGGAAATCGACGGTAATAGCTCCGGGAGCTATCCCACAGTGCACCACTCTGTTGACGCTCTGGACAGCAGTCCGAGCTCGGATGCTCTGACCAGCCACACCCCCGGGAAAATTTGAATTCATTTTCATTTTCCTGTCTGGGCAGTTTGAATCTCAGTTCCTCTTTGGACATCGAGGGGAGCTCAGCAGCAGTGGCAACTATGCAGAGCTCTCCAGCAGAGATGGCCGTGCAATCCAATAGAAAGAGGGCCCCAGCATGGACTGATCGGGAAGTCTTGGATCTCATCGCAGTGTGGGGCGATGAGTCCGTGCTTTCAGAGCTGCGCTCCAAAAGAAGGAATGCTAAGATCTACGAGAAGATCTCCAAAGCCATGGCAGAGAGAGGCTACAGCCGGGATGCAACGCAGTGCCGCGTGAAAATCAAGGAGCTGAGACAAGGCTACCAAAAAACCAAAGAGGCTAACGGACGCTCCGGATCCCAGCCCCACACATCCCGTTTCTACGAGGCACTGCATTCCATCCTGGGAGCGGCCGCCACCACTACCCCACCCCTGACCGTGGACTCCGAGGATGGGATCATGTCGGACATGACAGCGGACGGGGAAGAGGAGGAAGGAGATGAGGAGGACGAGGCAGTCGACAGCGCTGGCACCGCTGATTTCCCCGACAGCCAGGAGCTCTTCATCACCCTTACCGAGATCCCGTACCAACCGTCCCCATCCCTTACCCCGGACACAGAATCAGGGGACGGATCAAGCAGTAAGTGCTGTAAACATGTAAACATTTATTTAAAACAGAACGGTAATATTTATACTATTAACAATGTATATTTATAAAAGTGCTGTAAACTAGTAAAAAAATAATCAGGTACAAAACAGGAATATTTACAAAGGTAACAAATGGGTTTTGCATGATTTCTCTGTCTTAGGCTCTTCTCAATTTAGTCCCAAGTATTTTAAAAAAATTTCACAATGTCCGTTACTACATGATTCCCAGGCCCAAGACGCTCCACTCCAAAGTCCCAGTGCACCTACGCGAAAATCCGGTCAATGTGGCCGGGGATCGACGAGAAATCCTCGTAGGAGAACTCCTCGTAGGTCTCGTGGAGGTAGAGCTCAAGCCTGTTGATCAGGTTCCGGGGTAGGGCGATCTTAGTGGGCCCTCCGTGGTAGCAGACATGTCCCCTCCATGCCACAATCAGGTACTCGGGGATCATGGCCCGACATAGCATGGCGGCATACGGCCCCGGTTTCTGCATGCTTTCCCGCAGCATGCGTTCTCTCTGGGTGTCCGGGATCCTCAGGAGGGTGATGTCGCTCATGACGCCCTGCTTTGAATTAGGGAGGGGACTGTTAGTATTGGGACTGCTTTACAGCCACGCGGTGGAGGGAGAGGGGCAGCATACAGGGATCTTTCCCTGGGACAGCCGCGAGGGGGTGGGACAGGGGCAGAGTTGATGCTGTCCTGATTGCTGGCAGCAGAGACTGGCATTGCTTTCAATGTGAAAGGAGGCCAGTGCTACAGCTGGAGTTTTAAGCAGCCACAAGTCTGCGGCTTACCATTATTGCCCGCTCCAGAAGTTCAGGTCTCCAGCCACAGTTCTCTGAACACTCCAAGACCTCCGCAAGTCCACAGGCACTGAAGGCGACGGCCGAAAATTCGACCTTGTCCTGAGTGCGCATGTGAGAGGTTCAGTGCATGGTCTTGTTCACAGAGAAAGACTAGGTTCTTTGTATACAATTTCATTTATCTGTCTCAGGAATTCACTCCCTTTTTAAAATTCACACAGACACATCTGCGACTGTCTCCCAACCCAGCCTGTCAGCACACTCCCAGAGGCTAGCGCAGATTAGGCGGAGGAAGAAGAAGACGCGTGAAGACATGTTCACAGAACTAATGGGCTGCTCCCGAGCCCAGGCAGCCCAGCAGACACAGTGGAGGGAGAACTTGTCACAAATGCACCGAGCAGTCATGGAACGGGAGGAGAGGTGGCGTCAGGAGGACCAACAGGCTACTGAAAAGCTGCTTGGACTAATGAGGGAGCAAACGGACACGCTCCGGCGCCTTGTGGATGTTCTGCAAGACCGGAGGCAGGAGGACAGAGCCCCGCTGCAGTCTATCTGTAACCGCCCTCACCCGCCACCAAGTCCCACACCACCCTCACCCAAAGTCCAAAGAAGGAGGGGCGGCAAGGGCCGTTAAAACTTTCAATCAACCCCTGCAGACTGCTCTAGCAGTAGAAGGCTGACATTCCCCAAAATTTCATAAGTCCTTTCCTACCCACCTCACACAAGCCCCCGTCCAAGTTTCACCCCCCACGTTTCATGTCTGGTTCGCAATAAAATGTTTGTTTCTGTTCATTACTGTTTCGGTCAGGTTCTTTTGAGGGAGAGTCTGTCTGGAGGGGGGGAAGGGGCTTGGTAATTGGACAGGACAGTCACCTTTAGCAGGCTACAGAGGCGGGGTCAGGTCCAGCATCAGGACACATACACAGTGCAGTCACTGGTTACCCTGGTCAGTCTGGGAGGTGCTTTTCATGTTTTGGGGGGGGGGGGGTTGCTCTGTGACTTTGTGGCGGGGGAGGGCAGTTACAGATCTTATGCAGCGGTCCTTATCCTGGCTCACAGATCCACGCAGCAGGGGATCTGTAACCCTACCCCCCCTGCCAGAAAGTCACATAGCCGACACATACACACAGTCCCCCCCAGGAGTGCTGGCAGGCTCCATTGAAATAACCAGTCCACCAGTGCGGAGCCTGTCATTCCGGGAGTTTAGAAGTATCATTTGCATCAGAACACTGAACCCGCCCCCCGCCACAGTCTGCGTCCCCGGTTTAAAATATTCCCGCGAAAACAGCAATACAGACAACGGTGTTCATTAAAAAATCGAAATGATTTTATTTTTTGGGAAGGGGAAGGGGGTGAAGGTTGTATGTAACTGGAGAGGATAGTCAAAATGGACTGGGTAAAGAAACGGGGGCAGGTTCAGCTTTTCTGTCCACAAACTGAAAAGTCACTGGTTGCCCTGCTCACTCAGGAACCTAGCTTTCAAAGCCTCCCGGATGCACAGGGCGTCCCGCTGGGATCTTCTAATGGCCCGGCTGTCTGGCTGGACGTAATCAGCAGCCAGGCTATTTGCCTCTAGCTCCCACCCCGCCATAAAGGTCTCCCCCTTGCTCTCACACAGGTTGTGGAGCACACAGCAAGCTGCAATAACGATGGGGATATTGGTTTCACTGAGATCACAGCGAGTGAGTAAGCTTCTCCATCTCCCTTTGAGACGGCCAAAAGCACACTCCACCACCATTCTGCACTTGCTCAGACGGTAGTTGAACAGTTCTTTTTCTGTGTCCAGGGCGCCAGTATAGGGCTTCATGAGCCAGGGCATTAGCGGGTAGGCTGGGTCCCCGAGGATGACTGTAGGCATCTCCACATCCCCAAGAGTTATTTTGTGGTCTGGGAAGTAAATACCTTCCTGCAGCCGTCTAAACAGACCAGAGTTCCTGAACACGCGAGCGTCATGAACCTTGCCCGGCCATCCGACGTAGATGTTTGTAAACCGTCCCCGATGGTCCACCAGTGCTTGCAGCACCATTGAAAAGTAGCCCTTTCTATTGATGTACTGGCTGGCCTGGTGGTCCGGTCCCAGGATAGGGATGTGAGTCCCATCTATAGCCCCACCGCAGTTTGGGAATCCCATCGCGGCAAAGCCATCTATGATGACCTGCGCGTTTCCCAGGGTCACTACCTTTGGGAGCAGTACCTTGACGATTGCCTTGGCTACTTGCATGACAATAACCCCCACGGTAGATTTGCCCACACCAAAGTGGTTCGCGACTGACCGGTAGCTGTCCGGCGTTGCAAGCTTCCAGAGGGCTATGGCCACTCGCTTCTGGACAGTGAGGGCTGCTCGCATGCGGGTGTCCTTGCGCTTCAGGGCAGGGGACAGCAACTCACAAAGTTCGAGGAAAGTCCCCTTCCGCATGCGAAAGTTTCGCAGCCACTGGGATTCATCCCAGACCTGAAGCACTATACGGTCCCACCAGTCCGTGCTTGTTTCCCGGGCCCAGAATCGCCGTTCAACAAAATCCACATGCCCCATTGCCAACGTCATGTCCTGGGCGCTGGGGCTCGTGGTTTCTGACAGCTCTGTGCCACTCTCCGACTTCAGGCTCTCACGGCGGTGCCGTAGCCTCCTCGCCCGATTTCTCTGCATCTGCCTCAGGGAAAGGTGTATGATAAGCTGCGAGGTGTTGAGAACGGCCACAAGTGCAGCGATGGTCGCAGCGTGATCCATGATCGCAGTGCTGTGGCGTCCGCGCTGTCACTGACCAGAAAAGTGCGCGAACTGATTTCCCGCCGGCGCTTTCATGGAGGGAGGGAGGGCGTTAGTGACGGACGGATGACGACAAATTTTTTTTACCCAGAAGGCATTGGCGGCTCGACCCAGAATTCCGATGGGCAGCGGGGACTGCGGGAACTGTGGGATAGCTGCCCACAGTGCACCGCTTCCAATATCGACGCTCGCCCCGTTAGTGTGGACTCACAAAGTCGAATTACTGTCCTTAGTGTGTCCTTAGTGTGGACACACACGTTCGACTTTGCAATATCGATTCCACATATTCGATTTAAGTAAAATCGAATTACCCTCGTAGTGTAGACATACCCTAAGACTTAAATATGTGACAAGCCAACACTTTTAAATAAATGCTCTGTCCTGAACCATACTTATGTTAGAGAAATTTTTCTATCTCTATCAAAATGTTTAGCATCAGGATGGCCAAAGTATAGCTCACAGCTTAGGGTTATTGCTTATGCATATAGTTATCTCTATGCCTATGCAACTAATTGCTCATTTGCTCCAATTTTGTGTGATTTGTTTTCTTTTCACTTTCAGAGAAGGGAGGCGTGAGAAGCATTTGCTGGAGAGAAAGCAGAAAAAGGCTCAGCTGCTTGGAACCCGCAGAGGACTATCCATGGCTTAGGAGGAATTTAGTAATGTCTTAAGGCCTCGCTGTAAATACTGTTCTCAGGAAAAATCTTTCCTACCTTTGTAAATATTTCTGTTTATATGTTTGCATTAAACGATGAGTCAGGTCACCTGAGTTGACTGGATGTTACTAGCCACGTAGGGCAGGCTTTCTTAGTGCTGTTGAGCTTAACATTGTTAGTGATTTTACAAGTTGGATAAAATATCGAAACTTTAAATCTTTTAATGTGTTTTAAGTAGAGCCCAGAGTATCTCAAATTACTTGGAGCCATTCATCCAGTTAGGTTTTAGATTGGCTAGAGATTCTTGGTTGTAAATTTTGAACAAAAGCTTCCTCCTAAGTCAGCAGATTCCATAAACTATTAGACTGAAGAGATAGTAAGGGGGGAGGGGAGGGAAAAGAGGAAATGTTAAAGGGATAATCATGAAGCCTATTCACACTGAGTCACTTATCAGTTGGGCATATTTCTCTAGAGATGTTAAATAACTTCAAAATATGTTCCATTATCAAGAAATTTAAGACACTGGGAGACTCGCTGACAAGTAGGGTATGTGTAGTAGCAATTAGAGCAGTTTCCTATATTTAAGTCCTTTGTGAAGTAAACAATCTCTAGGAGAGGGAAAACCATATTATAAGGGCTTTCTGGAGAACTAAAAGCCCTAAATAATGGTACCCTTTTAGAATGAAATAGGAAAAAAAATAAGAAGTTAATACAAACCTTGGTAGGTTGCTAATCCAATATGTGAAGAGCAAGTCATTAGTTTTTTGTCCCTCTCCACATTTATTACAGGATAAAATTTGGCATAATAGAACAATTGTTGTCTAGCCTGAAGCATTTACAAGATACTTTATTAGTAAACCAAGTTCTTTTGAAGTATGATATACTTAGAGTAGATTTAGAAAGCCTGTAGCAGCAATATCAGCAATTTCCCAAAGGTGATCTGTAAAGAAAATCATCTTGATTTTTATCATTAGACATCATGGAATAGACTGGAAGCGCAGGGGAAGGTGTGGGGGAGGAGGCACTGCAGTTGCTATTTCATTACAGCTCTTTGGACTTATGAGCAAATATTTACAAAGTAATAGGCTCACTTTTGTGTTTAGGTTTAACCTTTCCTGTGATATTTGCTGAAACATTAGATTCAGAAATAGAAAAGCTTTTTATATAAAATTTTATACTGTTTAATTGGGGAAAATAAATGGTTTTTTGTATTTAATGCTGTTGATTATGACTTAAATAATAAGTGTGAGACAGGCAGGCAGACACTCAAAGTTTAACCATATGCAATTGCCAGATGTGCTCATACATACAGGTCATATCCTCTCTTCCACTAAAGAAAAGGAATATATTACCATTTGCCAAGCTTCATGGGCCACCTGATCACTTTTACTGACGCAGTTCACTTGTTGGGATGTCCTAAATTAGAATTTTGAAACACTTACTGATAGTATTTAGCAGGGACAGAGGGATAATGTTACAGAATATGTTACTTTGTTTTTGACAATATTGTGTATGGTTCTATCAGTTTACTGTCTGCGTCTGACACAAATGGAAGAAAGACACTTAAATAGGAAAATATGCCTCAAACTGGCAGGGAATATAAGCAGGTACAGCATCTGAACTGTTCTACCTCTCTATACTTTAAGTTGAGCACTTTTTGAACACTATTTTGATTGAAATCCTTTATTAAATATAAACCTTTCCTCAGGATTACAGAAGAACTGAAACCCAGCACTCCTTGTCCTAAAACAAATGTATGCATTTTGAAAACCAAACCCGCTTCAGGAAAATCTCATCACCTCCGCACTCTGCTAGGTGTTGTATAAATTAAGACGTGTAGGCCTTTCCCAGCTTTTGAATCCCCACTTTGGAGAATCCTGGTGTAACCCTTCATATACTTCCCCTCCTTTCTTAAAGGCTTTGAGTAATGAAATACTTTGTGTCAATATCATCATCACAGACCTCTATACCCATTGAAATGTGGCAGCTGACACCTCAAACTCCCCCTGCCCCCTCTTTTCAGGTTCTCTCCATTCATTACACAGCTCGTTTTGAAGATTTGCTTTATAACCATGGCAGATTTTTTTTTTTTTTGATGGAAAGCTGAGACTGGACTCCTGTCCACCCCCATGTCTACTCCTCTGTGGGCCCTGGGGAAGTTTGCTCCACAATTTATGGGAACAGTCCTAACATCTGTTAGTCCTCTGGCTGTGAAAAGGACTATGGTTTTCTGTGTGCAATAGTATTAAACAGGGAAGGTTATTCTAATTCTAAAGGTGAGATGAAATACAAACCAAGAAATCTTACAGCATTGCAAGCCCCTATTATCTTATGAATTGCACCTTGTCAGTTTTGGGATAGAAACTGCCTCTAATGAATAGGCATGTGCCTGAACAATATATCCAGACAGCAGTTTCTAACATAACTTTACACTATTGTATCCTGATTCTCTTTGAAACTATCTCCCCAACAGTAGAGCAATAATCTCACCTGGTCTGTTTTCACAGTGGACTTCTGCAACTGGCTGTTGGAAGCCACAAGAAACCTTTAATACCATATGTTCTTAAGCTGCAAGTCTGCTCAGTTTATTATGGAGTCCATCCCACTCACTTCATGGAGTTACTCTTTAATATTTATGTGAACTCCCTCTCCCACCATGCATGAAGAAACTCACGTTTAACATGGTGTATAAATATTTAATAAAACGAGCTACTGAAGTACGTTCCACAGGATTGCAGGCCCATCTAGACCTTGGGATTTCTTTCATATTTTTCATAGGCGAATTCTTCTGTGTGAGCTCTGTCTTTCAGCAATCCAATAAAGTCTATCTCCAGCTGGAAAGGGCCATCTGCCTTGTCTCCCAATGTGAATCCAACAGTACTAATCTGATAAAAGAAATTGGTTATTCATTTGGATATGGTTTCAAGTAACGGTGAGATTAAAGGTAGTAAAGCCTAGGAAATTTGTCCGTGTTCTCCATACAGTGCATTGACTGCACAGGCATATTCATGTTACAACAGGAATCTATCCAAATGTGCAACACTGCTACAGCAAAATTAACTCCTGAAACTCTTTGGATTAATACTACAGAATGTGATTAAGAGTGATAATGTGCCCTTGTGTATTTTCTAAACAATTAAGTCTTTGAACTATGTTGAGCTATATGGAAAAAGGGGTGTTTTATTGAGCCTGGAAAAGCCCTGGAATTTTTAACCTGGGAAATTCTTCAATGCTGCAAATTTCTCTGTTTCTGCCTTTAAGTATACTGCTAAAAATGCAGACTTACTTATCCATGGCAAACTTCCCATGTGACATAATGACTATTTCCATGTAACTTAGGATTTCAGACGTAAGTAGACTACTAAAGGTTTTCACAAAGAAAAATGGTAAAAGGATGGAGGCCATTTGGGGGAGCCGGGGGCATGTAAGGAGGAAATGTCAGGTATTACATACAAGAATTCCCATACCCAATCAGACCAAGGAAAACGCATGAAATTTTGTAGTAGTCAATTATGGCTTATGTTACTCCCTCTGATAGTTTCTTCCTGGCCCTCATCAAACAGAGGGTGGCTAATGCCTTGAAATGTGAGGCCTCTCTTACAAGATTTTGGGTTTTATTTTTAATCTTCACTAATGTAACTTTGGATGTTCTCATTAACTATACAAAAGGTATAATCCTTTTTTAAACCTTAAGCCTGTAGTCTCAATTATATCTTGTGGAAATGAGTCTGATGGGGTAATGTTGAGTATTCTATTAGGTTTGCATTTAAGCTTTAATTTCATTGAATTCCCCTTGTTCTTGTATCTGATCTGATTTACCTACTCTATCAATTGCTATTTTGTATATCTTTACCATGTCTCATCTACAGTTCCAATTTCTTCATTCTTACTACTGAAGTGTTTTCATGCTGTTAATCACTTTCATCACCCCTCTCTGAACCCCCTACTATATATTATTTTTAACTGGGTACTTAAATTGAACCCAGTATTCCAGGTGAATACATAGCATTGATTTATGTAATGGGTACTACATAAAATGACACTTCTTCTCTTAACATTGTTTATTTGTTTGCTTTTGACAGAAACTGCACATTGACCAGTCCTCAGTTATAACCAGCATTCTCTCGAGTTAGTTAACATAGAATCCAGTAAGATGTACAAATAGCCCATTGCTTCCAATGTCTTTTACCTTGCATTTGCCAACAGTGAATTTCATATGTAACAGTGTTACCCATTCACCTAATTTTTGGTTTCTTCTGTCTTGACTATCCTAAAGAATTGTTAGCTATTATCACCTCACTACTCACCTTTTGGGGTTGCTAATACATATTTAATACCTGTTCTAGTATATCCCACTTTCTTGCCATAATTGACCATTTATATCTACTTTTCTTTGACAGTTTTTTGTTTAAGTGCAGGACTTTGCCTCCTCTCATCAGTAGTTTCTTTCAGGGCTCTCTGAAAGCCTCAATAAATTGTCAACTGATTCTTAGTAACTACATCTCTTCAAATGTGTTTTGATAAGAGATTTTAATTAAATTTGGAAAATTAAGAGGAAAGGTGAGAAACTATATATATTTAATATCTGTGGCATAAAAATACTGCAATTTCAAATTCATATAGCTCTAGATACCTTGAAAAGTTTTAAATGATCTTCACTTATACAGTTACACTACTGAAATTCTCATTGAATGATAGTAAGGTGCAGAAACAACTTACCTTATCTAACCAGAGTGGGTACTGATTATCCTGGATTCTCCCCCGACTTGAGAGAAAGAACTTGGAGAATGGAATCTGACCATAAGAAATACAGACTTTAGTTTTACATGTACACATACAATACTAGGAGAACTACTTTCCCCATAAAGCTTAACCCATTTTATGCTCTGTCTAGCTCCTGCAATAGTACCAATCATATACATGGAGTTAATACGCAGAAGATAGACCAGATCAAACTTATTCTTTGTTTCCCTCTGAAGCTTGCTCCAGCCCTATATTCTTCTGTGGTGACTTGCTGATTGCTCTGTGGAACTCCATGACCTGACCATGTGACTAGACAGAATTATATAAGCTAGCTGTTTTCTCAATAGAAACAGAGAATAGCTGTTCGGGGAACTTCTGTTAGTATTGATAAGCCAAAGAACTAGGTATGCATAAATGCAGCAATCTTTAAAGCAATACAGTACTGAAGAGAATTAATCTTCCTCGGTCCCCAGGAAATATTCAAAGTTACCTTAATTTCCTGCCAGTATGGACCTCCTCGGGTGAACATGAAGTAATTGTACAGGTCATCCTTTTGATGGGAGAAGTGTGGGTTTGTATAGATGCTTATCATCCAGGGTCGACCATCACCACGAATGCGTAAATACAGACTATTAAAGTTTGACCAATCATAATACTTCTTAGTTCCAAACGCTCCCTAGAAGATATAAATAAAGCATGTTATTGCAGCTCAATATTTCAATGAGAATTACTACTACAAAGACCACAGGTAACTACCACTTCGATCAATTTCCCCTTTCTAGACACTCCTTATCCAAGCTATCTATTGTGACCTACTGGAAACTAGAGGATAAGGAAAGCTAGAGTGAGTGGCTTTCACTACACTCAATCACACAAAATTTCAGTAATGTGTTACAGGCCTCAAATGGGATTGCATGCTCTAAAGGCTCATACTTGCTGTTTCTTCAATCACAATAACAAGTGACACTTCATTCCCAGCATCAGATTGCCCTCTCAAAGGTAGCAGACCTACCATCTGTTTTTACTTCCACACATAAAAAGGGGTGCCACAGCACATCAGACCAATGCTCCATCCAGCATGCTTCAGAGGAAGGTGCAAGAAACCTCACAGATGGCAGATGTGGGACAATCTGCCCCCTATGAAAGTCACATTCTAATCCCTAATAAAAATTGGCTTAAGCCCTGAAACTAGCTTTTATATAACTACCATCCTTTCCAAAATGCATTAGATGCCAAGACGCTTGTTATCCATATAAATGTCCAATTCCTCTGAATCTTGCACACCTTCCCTATCTCATCACCTTTATTTTATAAGATAGGGCCCTGATCTTGCAACTGGTTCCACACAGGCAGACCCAAGCACCTACAAGGAGCCCCACTGAGATTAATGAGGCTCTGGGAAAACAGAGCCTCCCTCTGCTGAACAGTTGCACACTTAGGGCCTACAACAGTACCAAAGAAACATGTTAAATT